TTCAGGCTAGTAAGAGGAAAAGGTTAATGCATATTGCAGAATGTACCTTGGCCCCAAAACATGTTTTCAAGGAGGTTATATCGCTAACAGTTAGAAGTGTTTAAGCCTAAAAAACATGCACAGATTCACAGTGATGTATAATAACTTTCAAGGGAAAAAAGTCCTAAAAAATTTAAATCACAACAAAGCCACAAAATATACTAACCTGTCCAGGGATCCTGACAGTAACCTCTGTCCAGAGCTGTTCAGGCATAAACAAGTTACAGTTTTATGGTGATTTTTAAGTGAAACTAGTAATTGTCCGCCTTTTAGTACATCCCAAACTTTGACATATCGACCTCCTGTGAGAAGGAAGCACACAAAACAGCTTGACATTCGTACACATTCACACTTCTCTGGAGAATTTTTCAGAGAGTGATACAGTGCCTCCTTTGCAACACAGTTTTCTGTACCTACTCACCATCCCCATCCATTAGGACTATCTCCTGTGACAAGACACATTACAGGCCTGCTCTTTTTTAGGCCATTCTGCAGACACAGCTGAATGATTCAACATACTCCTTACCAAAAAAAAAACCAAACCAAAAACCTAAATACCACTGGGTTACAGGACTTCTGATGCAATGGCAAGAAGAGACTAAAAAAACCTTGTCATTGAAAAAAAAAAAAAAAGGTAGTCCCATCTCTTCAAAACTTCTTAAGGAGGTTCATTCCTTCACTTTAGCACTGGTCTAATTAAAGTCTGTATCTTGACACTAAAAATGTCTTTTTTTTTCTTTGGACCAACTATGAGAAAATCAAATCAGAGACAAAAAGACCCCTACCTTCACCCTCCAGATCAACAGAGATTCCTAAAGAAATCTTTGAGAAATCCAGCTGTTACAACACTTACCACTTCATTACCAAATGAAAACACCAGACAAGAAAGAAGCAGCTGAAGTATTTCACAAATTAGAGCCACAGAAAAAAAATTTGATTTTATTGAAGTACCTGCAGATACTAGAAGCCCACCAGAAGGGAACAGAAGCACACTCTCCACAGGCTGGCCATGTTCTATTGTCATGACACTACTTTTTGTCCGTGCATCAAACAGTTTCACAGTGTGATCATAGGAACCTGCAAACACAACCGTATATATCTTCAGTTTCATAATGTCAATTATTTCAAGAACTAAAACAGCCACGTCCTACAATCTAAAGGAGCTGCTGCTAAACAGAAACAGTTTTAAACAATACACCTAGAACCCCTTGTGGTTTACCTTGGTTAATTTACAGCCTTCAGGCAGCGCAAGTCTTCTAATCCTGGCCTTAGCAACATGTCAGGCCTTAAAAGTAATTTGTCTTAATTTTATTTCCCTTCCATTAATCAAGTGTGTTTATAACAATAAATATGAGGCAACCTGATGAAACCTAGTCTCTTGCGCCCCCTGAAGAAATACTAGGTTTTTCATAGGAATCTACCACAGCTTAATAGAAAGCTACTGCTAGGAAAACCAAAAGCAACTGGTTTCAGGTAACTTCTCACACAACCTTTCATTTTTGAGTCTGCCAGTTTTGGGCTGTACAAACCACAATGGAACTAGTGTCCTCCTCCAGAAACCCAATAAAACACTTCAGCCAATCTCAACTAAAGGATACATTCACAGGATTTTCTTAAAACTTTCAAAGGCCAGTAAGAACAGTCCTATTAACCCTAATAGGCTAAAGCAAAAAGATGTTATTCACTCACAAGTTTCCCTGCAAACATCAGTGTTAAGCTTAAAAAGCAAGCAAAAAGGAAACAACAAAACAGGCACTGAGTAGGAGGACAGATCCTCCATGTTTAAAACATAAGAAACAAGATCCTACTCTATCAAAAACTATCTTTCTGCATAGTTCTTCAATTCAATCCAAAAGAAGCATATATAAAAAATAAAATCAAACCTGTTATAAAGACATCCGCATTCACTTTACTTGCACAGCCGCATCTCACATAGTCAGTATGTTCACTGTATGAGGCGATTTCTGTAGCACTCGCAATATCCCACAAATTTGATGAATAATCATCGCCACCAGAAAATACTCGGTATTTATCAGACAGGAAGCCCACTACATGAACAGGTCTAGAAAACAAAGTCCACAGTATCCAAAGTCAAAATATATACTTGTTTCCAAAAGAGTTAGTCTGTATGAAAACCTTATTAAAGTATTCTCTCTAACTTAGAAGTTCAAAGCATCTACTGTTGGAAGTTACAAAGCCTCACTTTAGAGGTTAAAAACACTTTAGTTTTTGTATTTCCAGCCAGAAAGGGGTCGTGCCACCAGACGCTTACCTAAGCACTGATATGATCTGCCTTAAAGGGTTTACAGGTCTACTAGATTCTCATTCAAAAGCTACAAATCCTGCATTTGTTACTTAGAGGTCTGTGTATTACCACTGTCCATTAGAAAAAATTTATAATAGTGAATTTTAAGTACACCTGGATGGGATATTCTTCATGTCCTTTAAAATCACTATTTAAATCTGTATTATCATCGTAACACCCCAGCAAAGAATGACTTTGACAGAAAACAGATACCATAAATCTTATTACGGTTCACCTAGTGGTTAGGACATAAGATAACACCTGATCTCAACAGACCTCAACACTCTGAAGTTCTGCCGGTGTGCTTTCCAGTGAAGGGGGGTTTGTTGCTGTTCTGGATCAATAAAACACTTACTGGTCTTTCATAGCATAGCAACCTGTTTAATCTAAGCATTATCATTGTCTTCTCCTCATCGTCACCATCAGAACTCTTCTAACTCCTTCCCCAGCCTAGCACCACCACCATGCACTTTTTCTGTCTTGCTTTTTTAAGGGATGCCTGCTCTTCCTGGCATATTTCTTCACTGTTTTTGTTTAGCCACTTTTTAGAACTCTTTTCCTGCCAGCACCAAATAAAATGTGCTTATTGGTGCCATGTAGTCACAAGACTATGTCTACGCAACTTATTAACAGACACCTATCCGAATTAGAGGATGTATTTATTCTTCCATGTACTCAATTCATATTTAGAACTCTTTTTAAAAATCACTCCACTTTTGAATTCAATTTAAAAATCTACTTTTCAGTAAGGTCTACACGAGACAGTGGCAAGCAACATAGACCAGTATCATTCAGATTTTCAGCAACATGCGAAGCAGACATATGTAAATACACCAAACAAGCTTGTGCATGCAAAGAAAAAAACAACACTGTCTTACTTAGTATGGCCGTCAAATTGTCTCAGAGGTGCTCTTCCACTAACGTCAAAGAGGTGAATGCTACCTTCCTCGCTGCCAGCAACAAGCAGATTGCCATCATCTCGGTACGTGGCACAATAAGCAGCATCTTTGAAGCGAGAAAACGTTTTGATTGGTTCCTGGGAGTAACGACCATAAATGTGGATCTAGCAAAACAAGAAGACATCAAGTTCGCTCACAAGATACCAGCTGAGAAACAAGAATATAAAACCCTCAGAAAAGCCACTTACCCTTGAGGAGGCTGTGACAGCATAGTTATATGGAGGAACCGGGGAGAAGTCGATTTTATTTATTGCACCAAATTCCTTTATCTGAACAGGTGTCTAAAACAATTGTGATAAAGACCATTAAATACACCTAAGCACACCATCAAAAATGGAACACAGCAAACAAAGCGTATTCCTCCTACAGAGAGCTCACCATTTTCTCCATTTAGAACCAAATCACTTCTTAACTACATCCTACTGAGTTTCTCTTCTGCCAGGGTACTTCTGCTCTTACGATTTTTTTTTCCCCAATTCGCCCATCGTAACCGGCCCATTAATTATGTGTTTTGAGTAAAAAAAGCCACCTCACTCACTCACGCACGTTTAAAAATACTTTGATTAGTCGCACGGAGGCAGAAAAAAAAAACCAAAAAACAAAACCCCAAAAAACCCACACCAAACACCAAAACCACATTCCAGGACAGTAAGTACGCCTGCTGGGCCAATCTGGGGCCCGAGCCAGCCTCCCGTCCCAGGAAGCCGTCCAACGGGTCTCGGGGCGCCCCTGAGGAACCGCTTCTAGTCGAGACCCGCGCGGGCTGGTGGGACCCAAGCCCCCCGCGCCGCGCAGGGCTGCCGCCTACCTTGTAGCCCCGCCAGTACGCCGTGTCCTTCGTGATCCTCTCCCCGAGCTTGGGGAACGCCTGGACCACCACCGGTTTGTAGGTCGCCATGGCCGACCAGCGGTCGGGGCCGCCGGCCGAGACGAAGGGCCGGGCCGCGCCGCGCCGCGCCA